ATTGAAATCAGTACAAGCTTCAGCAGCTAATTTAGCACACACTCACGTTATGCTTGGAATTGTCATGGCCATTTGCTAATGCACAATTGTTATATTATGATTGTTTTTACTTCTAATTTCAATACAATGTGCAATGCATATTACTCTGACCTTCGTCTGTTGAATATGTTTACAGATAGATTGGATCAATAATCTTAATTAGTTATAAAATGAATTGAAATAAATTAAAATCTAGACAAACTCCATAGGTGAATAAATTCGATCAAACTGAGAAGCGATGCACCGAAAAATATACCAACAATGCTGCCTATGGTGATGACCAAGTCTAGATTTGTAAGGCGGGCTGATCGAGTCAATAGTTTCGGTTGACTATTTATTTCAATGGTCACTGACGTAATGCCGTCCGTTTGATCACTTTTGTTAACCGATTTATATCCGATGGATTTTTCCTTTACGTTATGTCTGTGGATCGAATCGATTTTTGATGATCAATTCATAATTTGGTTTCCATGGTTATACTCAATCTTCATACCCGACAAAGCCAACATGCATTTCTGTACATGTAGAAAGGCATGGATTCATATTCCAAAGATAGTCATCCACTAAATCTCTGTTGATCGATCGTTCAACACATCTTGTTTGTGTGTAATTACAATACTGGCTTTTGTCTATTGGACGAGAACAAATCGATCAAAAATAAATTCAGAATTCGAATTCATCATAATCTAAAGTAAGGTCATTACATTCGACTGGTGCAAAGGGCAGCGTACAATTGCAGAGTTTCAATTCCATTTGAACTCGAGAATGAATCATACAAGAGGTAATACCGTAAGGAAAAGATGCATCCAAGGGCCAAAGCTCGTCTGAAAATCGACACTTTCGCTCCATTATCGATAAGTCCCGTGTATCATCATCATTCTCTACCTGGGTTGTCTAGATATGGAACGAAACAGCACAAAAAATATATCAAGTCTAGAGAAACGTTACCAATTCAAATTGAATTAATCAATTATTTTTATTAACGGATTTCA